AAAAAAAAAAAAAAAAAAAAAAGAAGGTAAGATAGTGTAGGCTGCTGCCTCAACTGTGCCATACCGTACAGATGGGCTGTTGCTGTTGCTGTTGCTGTTGTTGTTGTCCACTCCACGTTATGGGTACATGTAGCTCAGATTGAGTTAAGGGAAACCCTGCCCGCTACTTGCACTTTATCATTATACACTTCACATCCGTCCCCTGCCCAGCTCTGATATCTCTCGCTAGGAATTATGAGAGACAACAACCAGCCAGGTCTGGGGGGGTTCAATGCACTGTACGTGCTATGTGGGCACGGTGTGTATGTGGGGATTTCGTAGTCGATCTCCCAGACGGTGATAGTCGACCCGGGGGAATCTGTCGTGCCCTGGGGGTGCAATATGTGGGGACAAACCATCCATGGTAGGATAACCACTCTCCAATCTCTGATGGTGATCTTGCGAGGAAGGGATTAGCCCCAGAAATAGCAGGTCTCTTTCCGAACGCAGTTGTGATCACTTCAACAAGGCGTTGAAAAACTTGGGCACTTTTGATATCTCCACTCGCGCAGTCTGGCCCCGGGGCACCCGTCAACCGAGGATGGAAAAAAAAAAAAGAAAAGAAAAGAAAAGGATACGGTAGGCTCACACTGCAGCTAGCTGCTAGCATGAGTTTAGCCAAAGAAAACCAAATATTCCTATTTCCCCTCCCAAGATCTAGACCGTGGTGTAAGAATCTTTGGAGCGTGAGCGGATAAAAACGCACACAGCGAAATTTTCAACCGGCTGTTGGTCCTGGCTTAAGGCTGGTTTACGGTAAGGGTTCGATTTCTTTGCTCGAAATTCATCCGGGGGAGGTCCACACGCACTCACCCTCCAAAAATCTCTCGCTTGCCCTACTCGTGCTGTACGTACCGAATACTTTGAAAGTAACTTGTGTACCGGGGCCATCTTTTGCTAGCAGGATAGCAGAAGTTGAGGTGAATGACCACTCTCAGCCTCCCCTTCCACGGGCCCATACGGGCGAAGGGAGAATGCAATAGATTTACTCCCCCCCCCATCTCTCTATCCCACATCGCATTGCCATGTTTCACTCTTATCACTGTCGCAATCCGCGAGCGATGGAGGGGGGTCGCAGCTCCGTGCCGGTGGTCGAGGAGGAGAAGAGGGGGTGCTCTGAGGCAGCCCTAGAGAGATGATGGGTGGCTAAATTAGGCATGATATTATGATACAAGCACGAATGGTTGGCCATCTGCTCCATTCAACGAGGGCGATGGAGTGAAAAAAGAAAGGGTGCTGGTTGGGTGGAGAGGGGCTCTGATTGGCACCAAAGGCAGATCTAACCGGTAAATCAACCTTAACTGACATCGGATATGAGCCCCAATCCGGCCAACCTAGCGCCCCTGCCCAGGAAAAACGCCCGCATTCTGCCACCCCGTCTGTAGTGCAACTACCGTACCGGTAAGCCGCAAGATCCCGTCCCTGATCCAGCAGCGGTTCACATCCTTCGAGCCAAGAGATCGCCTTCGTCCCCAAATATTCCAACCCGTCTCTCTACGCGTGTCCGACAAGGAGGAGGAGGAGGAAGAAGAAGAAGAAAAGAAACAAATAACCCCCCCTTCCGTCGCCTATTGCTATGCTGTCCTGTGCGATGTGTGCATAGCGACTGCAGTGCGCCCGCCCCCTTCTCACTGGACAGGGGAGGGAACGGGGGAGAGCCAAATATATGACCTGAACAGCGAATTATACCATGCTCCCCCAACATCCCCCTCCTCTCTGCCGCGATACACACGCTTCGGCGTTCAGCTGGTCTTGCACTTTATTTCGCCTTCTCCTCCTCCTGCCCGCCCGCTCCCGTGAAAGTTGCAAAGCGAGCGAACAGCAAGCCGCCTGCTCCTGCCGATATGCCGGGGGTGAGCCACGGCCTGCGGCAATCACCGGTTGACAACTAAGCATTTTTTTTGTGCAGTCATTACCTCTGACAGATACGGTATCTCTTTACTTTTTTGCATCCACAATTCTTTTTTCTTTTCTTCTTTTCTGTGCTATGATGGCACTGTGTGTCTTACTTTTCGTGATGGGTTGGTTGGGGCTCCGGTCGCCTGGGCCGCCTGAAACAGCTTGTAAGAGCCGCACGTGTTGCGGGGGTATTTGAAGCCAGAGTGCTTTGTCGAGAAATATCCAACTGCTGCCCCGGCGAGGACTTCCCCTTTACTAGACGATAGGGTGGATGATTCCCTACGTTGACATAGGGAAGATAGTTTCCAAGGAGGTATTGGGTATCAGGAGTGCCTCAAACTATTGGCAAGCAGGGAATGTCCATGAAAAGTTCATTACTACTAATTCCCTTGAGAAAAAAAAGGAAAAAACACTTCATAGATATTTTCCAGGGGATCAACCTATAATCACCGTAGGCACCCTTAAAAGGTTAACACACAATTACTAACCCAAGATGAACGTCCTCTTGTTCCGACAACGGACGCTGATCCCTCACTGCGCAGTACCGTGCTGTACTCGAGTACCATACAGTACTCTACAGCGCTCCACGGGCGCATGGACTACCAGAGGAGAGAAGCCGTGGAATGTAGCACCTTGGAGCTAATCCAACCCGATCCGATCCTGCAATGTTCACTTCTCAGCGGAGCCGCTGGGAGTATTATCTCACGTTGGATACTGCACCTTACCGTAGATAGCGTTATTGGAGCTATAGCACCACCAGCACACCAGCACACCGCACATTTGGGCAGCATGCAGCACCCGACTAGAGCGCAGTGCAGTACTGCACAGTACTCGAGCAGTTAGCGGCGACGGCGGATAGAAAATCTGTAGATTTGCGTTACCTCCACGCCGCAATACAACGGGTACAGTACTGCACTTTGCCTAATAGTGTTGCGGGAAAAGCAGCCCAACTGATAGGTATAATTTCACCTCCTTTGGGCACTCCTGCCCCCGCGGCCAGGTGCTTGCATAGATCGCAGCATAGCACTTGCATCTGACGTAAAGTATCTGGGAGCGAGATGGTTTATCTGTTTTTTTTTTGCTTGCTGTGCAACGGCGGTCGTATTTTCAGATACACGCCTATCGCGAGATAAGAGTACCGGTAGTGCGCTCGGGGGGGGCATCATTAAAAATTACCCACATCCACTACTAAACGAGAGGACCGACCGCATCGAGAATTGCAAACTACCGCACAGCAGAGGTCCTTTGCGGACAATAGGAACTGGGAGCAGGCACCAAGTACGGTATGGTATCCCATTAAGAAATGCAAGTGGCAGTGAATTAGAGCAGGAAATAGCTCAATTTACAAGTTGCGAGTCTATCGCAATAACCGAAATTCCCTCCACAAGCGAATCCTCGACCCTCACTCACTCAGGAGTCGAACTTCAGGCAACTAGTCTGGCCCCCCGACCCCCGTAACATTGTGCTGGTACAATACACTGGCACCCCACTAACTCATCCTCAGCCAACCGGAATCCGAAGAACCCGTCTGGCTCTACACGGCAAGAGATCCGGGGCGAACAAAAAACATGTCAGGCATTGTCCCAGAGAGATTCAGGACCCGGGGAGCTCCATACCGGCACGGGAGCGGCAGGGTATCCTGTCCATGGCTGCCGAAAGTTTTCTATCCGGGACAGCGTTGCCTGACTGTATAATATCAGACGGTAGTTCTTTCCGGACGTCATGGTGGTCCGATCGGTTAATCATTTCATTCTACTCTCTAATCTCAGACCCTGAATGAGTTCTCCGAGTATTGCGCGGCGCACGGAGAAAGGGTAAATAATCCGTATGAGTGTTTATGATGTGATGTCCGGCCAACAAGGACGAAGGAATTGAAAAATCCGGGATTTGTGGAATTCCCGC